GGGGGGGGGGGGGGGGGGCATTAGATGAAAAGCATAATCTGCAGTGTCCCAGATTACAGCAAAGCGCTAATCCAGGGTGGCCAGTCCAGCTTGGAGCGGCAGTAATGCTAGTCAGATACAGTGGAGGGGAGAGGATGCCAGAGGCTACACTTGGTATTGTGTGCGTGTACTTGAGGGAAAGTGCACTATGGCGTGGTAATGAGAGCATGTACATGTACACGTGCCGCTGTGTATGTTTGTGAGTTCATACTAGGCCTGCAATTAATGATTATTTTCAGCCATCAATCAGATTATTTTTTTGATTAACCAACTGATACATACAATGTGACATACACACAATGCCTGAGCTGAAATATTCAAATTGTTTGTTTTGGCTGTCAACCAGTCCAAAAACCCAAAGATATTTATTTAAATATCACAGAGGACTAAGAAAACCAACAGACATGCACATTTGAGAAGCTGGAATCAGTAAAATAATGGCCTATTTGCTTTGATTTCTTAAACATACTACAATGAAGTTTTTAACTGGTTAATATAAAACATTCTAAATTTAACACTGATTCCTCTCTATGACCTACATAAACCAAAAAGACCATCAGCCATATGATTGGCTGTTTATAGTTCCTCATAAGGCCTGGCCACCAGGTTGGATTCCCCTTAAAAATCAGATGAAGAGAAGAAACATAACCGCTGTTGTCCACAGGGGTCGCCAGAATCACGAAAAATGAAAGTCTCTTGTTGATGCTTTAAATGATAAGCTGATGTTTAAAATAGTTGCCAATTAATTTTCTGTAATAATAATAGCACTTCTGGTTCACAAGCAGATTCAAACACATGTGGGCTTTTAAACGGTACATGCTTAATCTATGTGAAGTACAGTGTATATATATATATATATATATATGTAACCACCAAACCACATAAAACATTGATCAAATATTTAAAGGTAGGAATTCAACCTGCAAGAGAGCAAATATGCAGGTATAGTCATGTCTCATTTCATTTGAATACATTCACGGAGTGTCAATAGAAATCAGGCTTCTCAGTGTGCGTGCACCTGCTGGTACTTGCAAGGCTGCAGCGAGGTGGAAAAGCAGTCTGGTGACATTCCAGCACTAGTATTATGACTGAAGATGTAGATGCTGTAAGGATTTAGAGTAGCTAAAACAAAATGGAGAGAGGTCATCCTGAGCATAAAATTGGTAAGAATGTGAGAGTACAGTACAGAGAGCTGTATGAAATCAGGATTACTGCCAGATAACTGTTCCTAGAAGGAAGCACGCCTAATATTCTAACGTGAAAAGATTATTGTGTGATATCTTAGGACAGAGCACACAGGAGGTTGGGAGAAGGAAAACCTACGTTTTTACCAATGTAAACACGTGAAGGCTATTGAGACACAAAAACTGCCAAAATAATGTCAAAGCAAAAACTGACCTGAACTGTTCACAGTACACTGATTTCCCATCCACCATTCCTCTGCAGTTTAGAGCCAGACGAGCATGTTTGTAAGACCTTGTACAGGAAATACTTTGCATTAAGGGAGAACGACGGGCCGCTGTCCTGAAGTATTGAAGAACTGGGGGACAAATTCCACAATCATGTGTCCAAGTGAAGAGAGTGGAGTTTTCAGATTTCAACTCAAGCTGTGCGTACTATAAAATATATGAAAGGGTACATTTTTCTACAGAGAATGATAGAAGTGATGATGTTCTGTACAATCCAAATCACAAGTGTAGCTAATGTAACTGTACTGCGGCCTGATCTGCAGAGTCAGGCTTCATTGCACTGTTTCCCCACTGAAACAAGGTCAGCGCAGGAAGTGACACATACAGTCACTCGTCGCAAACTATCAAATATCAACATGCGCTGAAATAGGCCCGTATCAAGGACGATGAATCCTTGCCAGCATCTTTCATTTCTTGCTTCTCATATTTTGTCTTTTGGTTCATTTTTGTGAAAAGGCAACCAAAATTGTGCATCAGTATTGCTACTAGAAGTCTTACATATCCAATAACCAACCGTGACACATCTGAGACTGCATTATTCAGAGACAAAACAATACAGTGAAATGTTTATTAATGGTAAAAGATACATCTTAATTAATACTCAACATCACTTCCTCCCTGCAGCCCTCCTGACCAGTGGAGCCACTGAATCATGAGTGACACTCAATGCATGTGACATTTGTTAGAAAACCACTGGTATGCTGAAGTCATAAATTTACTTTTAAAATAATCTCGAACCCAAACAATCTCATCGTTCTGTTCTTGTATTGGACTGGATCGTTTAATATTTTTTTTATTTATAAACCGAAACAGACAAGAGCGTGAAAAACAACCCATGGCACCCAGACTGTAACCAGGAACAAACAGCCATTTTCAAGTGGTTAATGAAGAACAGCATGGCATCAATTACCTCACTATTCACGGCATACCCTGTCACATGATTAACCTAAAACAAGAATCATGAGACATGGGTGACTTGGGATGCAGTGAGAGGGTCCACAAAGTTCCCATGACATGTGCATCATGGGAAAACAGTAAGAAGGGCAGAGAGCGGCTACACCTCAGATGAAACACATATACTGTAAATGTAGTGTGTACAGTTGATGGACACCTGGATGAATGAATGAGTCTCTTTACTACATAGACGGTGTCATGTCTTCATCTCTCTACTGCATCTTAACAATTTGAGTCATCCCACAAATGTGTGTCTAGATTACAGCTGTTTAAAGGAGCAGTCTGACATATTTTTGGAAATATAATTATTGGTTTTATTTATTTTTATTTTTTATTTTAATTTTTTATAATTTATTATTAAGAGTTAGATGAAAAGACTGATACCATTCTCGTGTCTGTACAGTAATTCTGAAGCTACCACCAGCATCCAGTTAGCTTAAATAAAATCCCACCACCACCTCTGAAGCTCCCTGAACGACACATTAAAACGTTGTTTGTTTAATCGGGATTGTTTAATGCATGGTTTATACTGTATAAACACTAAATGACCTATTTAACATAAAGACATTAGTGAACAATCTACTCATCTCAGTCTTGGCAAGAAAGCAAACAAGCCTATTTGACAAAAACGATTCCTTCAAACGAGGTAAACATACAAAATCACGTTCATTCCTCAAACACAAGGTCTGACATCTGCACACTTATCCCAAATATACACGGGACAATGACGTTGAAGGAGAGGCCTGTTTCCTTAGTGATAAGAGTTACCCTGTGGCAGTTGGGGGACTGTGCACATAGTACGATGGTTGTGTGTGGCCCAGCTCTAAAACACATTTCCTACATCTCATTCTATTTGGCTCGTAAATATAACGCAAATGGAGATTATACAGTATTATCTGTGTTTCTTTTTTTAAATTACTTTTATTATTATTACTATTATTATTATTATTAAATGCAGTTATAATACTGTACTGTTTCAATGACATCTCACACAGGCTCACACTCAACACACTTCCACCAGCATTATTAATACTGTATTAATCAACTGAGTTGAGGGAGAAATATAAAAACAAAAGCTCTGCAAAAATGTCCAAAGTGATGTGCAACAAACAATAGAGGGATGTCTCTCAGGAATCAGGAGTTAGGCCTGCACCAGCACAGTATTTGTACATCTTATTTATCAATATAAGTGCTCTGAAAAAAGAAATCGATTTTGAAGGAGTAAATTAGAGATAAAATCTTAGGTTATGTTATTTAGGATTTATACTCTATACACCGACTACGCTCCATCGGACAGTGAGGCCCCAGGTTTCTCTCTGGAGTGTCATGTTGGAAGATACTGAGCCTGATGCCACAGCTACCAGACAGGTGAGACCTCCGCTTGGCCAGATCTCACAGGTTAATGACAAATACTCCATAAAGAACACATAACAAAAAAAATAAATGATCATATCATCATTTCAGCTGATCATTTCTGCTGTTCCTTCTTTGTATCCCAAAGTTAGGTAAAAAAGACAATCAAATACTGCATTTTAGTTCTACATCAGATAATTCACACAATCAGCACATGTTAAGTACTGACATCTATATTTAGGTTATCTTTGCCTGAACTTGTCTTTTCATAAATGTTTCCATTATCCTCTCTCAGTGCTGCTGGGAGCTGACAGAGCCCATACAGAAGCTTTAAAGGGCTGGCCTGTTCATTATATAGAACATAGGGGACATTTTAATCATATAATACCACATTTGCTAACTTTGATTCATGGAACGATGAGCTCAAAGATCAAAGTTTTAAAATACACAGGGGGATTTCCCTTTAATCTTTGAGATGAAATGTGCAAATCTGCTGACATCAGTGAACTGGGGCAGGTTCTGAGGTTAGGCTCAGAGTTTCAGGTAGCATGTTTTAGCTCAACGATGGCTCACAACCAACCCGTCAAGATCTCTTTTTGCAACGACTCGTGTGTATTTTTAAGTAAGTAACAGTTTTGCCAAAAAAGCGTCCAGTTTCACCTACTATATATACACTCACGTGATAGATCAATACTTGAATTTACCCTTGAAATTTTGCCATGACGTGATCTTAAATACACGTTTTAAAAAGTGTGATGTGGTTTCTAACGCGAACAAGTCCGCTGGATGTGGTTGAGGAGATGTGAGACTTCCCCTGACCGTACACACAGCTGAAAGCATCCAGTTGTGCCTCATTGAAATCTAATAAGGCAAAAATGTTGGCCACTGCTCATGATCAATCTCATTAGACAACCGAGTCGAAAAACAAGATAGATTGGTAAGGCTGACCGTCGCGTTTTTGAACATCTGATTTGAGCAAAGGCCATAAATTTCTATCAGGAAAGCAGCAGAAACCAGAAACAGGCTACACCCAGACAACAGTCAAAAGTGGTTTGGATCATGAATGACAAAATCCCACATTCTGGTCTATGTAGGTCCGGAGTGAAATATTCTCGAGGAGTTTAAATAAATAAAACAATGATGAGTTAATGATATCAACTGACAACTTCTTCAGAAAGAGATATAATTTTGTTTTTGAAATTTATTCAGGCTTCAATTTGGTGCATGAGGCCTGGACATTTAAAAAGAAATGTGCTTTTATCCAGATGTTCACACTATAAGTAAACAAATGTACAAATACTACAAATGCTAGCAAATCAAATACAGTTTTCTTCAATACATCACGTGGTCAAACTATGTGCTTGTTCCCAAAGACAACCTTCCAGATACTGCACTAAAAAGCAAGAACAACTGAATCAATGGCATTCACTCCTGGAAACTCCTTTCAATGCAGGGAAAAGCAAGCACAAAGAAAGAGATGTTTGCTATCAAAAAGGTCATCTAAGTACAAACAATCAGTGGAGAGCAGGCTCCACTCCCCTGAAAGCTTCTTTGAAAGCTGCAGTCAGACCACTCAAAGTGCATACTGACCTCCCTCCTGCTAAACTCTGCCAAACTAACACCTAAACACTAAGTGCAATAAAATGATAACACGATGTAAGAGGGGACATCGATAATGAGAGGTTTCAAAGTGCCTTTCAGTCTCAAATACTGGTGACTGGGCTGAAATCCAACAGGTGACAGTGACAAGGAAAAACATTAACAAGGATGCAGGTAGACGGTGCCAGGATACAGCTGCCATAGATACCCGCGTGAAAGAGTGACAACAACACGGACTTCACCGTCTGTTGCCATAAGAGTGTGACTATAAAAAAAAGAGAACTCATCAGTTCCTATGATGATGTTTTGAATGAGAGACGATGATAACTAGGAAGGACGAAATTTGACTTCTGCAGGCACAAGAAGCGAACAAACAAACACAGTCGTCCTGCAGTAAAGTTCGCTTTTTGACTGACAATTGTGCATTTATTTTGCTGTTTCACTCGATGCACCAACAACTTGAAACAGTGGCTACCGTAAACCACAGAGGCAGCACAATAAAGTCATATTGTGAATTTGATATCAGTCAGACGCCCTACAGAGGAAAATAATTGTAACGTGGTTAGGGAAAACGTTAAAAGCATGAGCAAAGCACAGGAAACCTACACTACCAAAGAGGAACCATGGTCACAAGACAAGTAGCCCCTAACTAACAGTGACTAAGATACACGTTTCTTAAAAGATCTTGGAACACCTCACAGAGACTGAGAGGCTTGAATGACAAACACAGACCTCATTCAGTGTGATAATAATAAGGATAAACAGGTTACATCTGTCCATATACAAAAAAATGCTGCAACCAATCCAACATTTCTAACCTTGAGGCCAAAAAACACAACGTGCAGACATCAGGAAATGACATTTCTGCAGTGGTGGGTGAAGGGAAATGAGGTCAGGGCTGTGCATTGTTCACCTGGTATCCCCTCCAGGTGAACAAATAGTCACTTGCTTCTTTCCACAAGAACGACAAGATCTTGTAACATGCAAATAAAATCCATAGAAAATAGTGTTTTTATCAACTAAACTGAGTCTTACATGCAAGCTTTATTTACTTGCACTTGCCTGAGAAGCAGCTGTGGTAATAGGCAGACCCGGAGGATGGGTAAGGGCAAGTAAGTGGAGCAGAGGTATGAGAGAGCAGATGGCTGCCGAGCAGGAGCGGAAACGTCCAGGTAGGTGGAGGGGAGGAAAGGAGGCAGGGATGGCAGGTACAATGCTTTCACAGCATACCTGCCGTTCATACACTCGCCCTCCTCTTTTTATATTAAAATGCTGGGCACTCCCACACCTGTGCTGAGGCCTGCTTGACCTGGTTAACAAACCTCCCAGCCTCCAGACATTGACTGATGTAGAATGGGGCTGTGCTGCTGTCAAACTGAGCATATGCAATCACTGATCTGTTCAAAAACGACCAGGAATGAGGACTTCTGGTGTGACTTGACTAGAACAGGTGTAATTGGGACATTTAGAGACAATGTGATAAGCCATCAAGTGTTTCATTTGATCAATTCTACCAAATTAACATTTAATTATTATTATTTGTTTATTTTTTTACCTGAACAGTGACAACTTCCTCTCTCGTGTTTTTACTGAAGTAGTTAGCTTACAGGCTGTTTAGTACATGCTGTGTAACACTCAACTTCCGTGATACTTCTGGGAAAGATTACTCCGAAAGCTTTATTTTCTTCCCAGAGTCTCTCCTTTATCTCTGTCCCAAAATAAAAAGCACTTTATGTGAGTGTGAAAGGTAGCATATGTTCCCAGCGGTCTAACTTCACTCCCCAACGCAAAGTTAGCTTCCCTTAGTTTGCTAACTTTCATGTGAGACAGAAACCCCTTTGAGAAACATTTCGGGTGAGAACACAGCCACTGAGAGATGAAATTAATTACCTTGCTCTGTATCCTCCATTGTACGGCTGAGCGTTGTTTCTGGTCGTTTTTATGTCCAGAGGCTGCAGGTTGTTCACTTGGCTGCAGCAGACCTTCCTGCTCGCACTCTCTCTCTCTCTCTCTCATGTTGCCAGGCAGCACCGACGTACGGGGTGGGGTTCGCCGTGACGTCATGACGCAACAGTGTAAACAGAGGCGAGCACGTGGATCAAGTTTTACACCGTCAACAACGCGCAGCTGCACACGTCATTATTGTTTTTTCTTGTTGTTTTTTTTTTTTTTACACCGTACAAAACAAACTTAAAGCGTGCATGAATGCCATACATCAGGTCTATATAGTTAGATTGTAGTAATGGTAGTGCAGTACAATAATACAGAGACACACTCATGTATAGAAACTCAATCTATCACAAATAAAGCTGCTGATTGTGATCCCAGTGAGAGGCAGGGGCACATTTGGTCTTTTTAAATTAAAAATCTTTCGTAAATTAGTAAACCTAAAACAACAAAACAATAAAAACCCAAAAGTAGTTCTAAGAGGGAAAAAGGCTCTGGTGTGGCACATATGTATTAACCTGTTGTAATTGTATACAGAGGATACAATACCAGTGGAAATAATGTTAGGAATGTAGCTTTATATGTCTACTGATATAATTAACATGACTGGATACATTATTGTCACATTTCCGTGTTTGTATTTTCTATTTATTAAGTAATTTTTACTTTGGCAGTTGCCAATAATATAAGTCTGGGTTGAAGTAAAACTAGTGCCTATATTTACTCAGTAATGCTATATAGAATTATTACTTTCTGGGTGTATATGTGTGAATGTATATGTATAGCCCTAAATAACAGAATATATTGTTTTATTTATTATTCTATTATATATTTGCATTACAGTATTTGTATTTGTACATGTATTGGTTAGTGTGTGTAGTATGGAGAGCATTAACAACTTATTTAATTGTGCAACACTGTGTTTTACAGTGAGAAATAAATGACCTTAATTCCTTGATTCATGTTTTGAAAAATGTCTCACTAAAATGGAAACATTGGAACATGAAGGCGGGGAGTTCATACTGAACTGGAGTATTACTGCTCTTATGGTTAAATCACATACCTTTTTTTAATACCAGTAGGAATATATATGATTTATTAGCTAGCTGAAGGCATAACAGTGGCATAAACTCAATCAATGATACCTGCAAGGCAGACTCATTTATTTCATACCTGAGAGAATAGTGTTACATACACTGTATTATTCACTGCAGGAACATTTCAATTTGTCAAATTAATTCAGATCGTTATGTCAAGTTGATAGCAAATGATTGTATGAGCTGGAGCAATAAATAAATACCCTAATCAGACATGGCATGCCTTATTACTCCATTGGGGGTTTAACCATTACACAGGGACATACAACCCCCCACATTATTGTAATCAAAACCTGGGTTAAACCCAACTGTTGTTCACACACTGTGTGCAAAGCCCTTAATTGGACAGAACTGAAACTATACACCCAAGTATGTCAAGCATGGCACACACAAAGACAGATAGATGTTCATGAAAGAGTGCCACCTGCTGGAGCTAATCCTGGTGACACGGAACAGAAACAGACTTAAGACACATGTTGATATGTCAGAATACTTCACTATGGGATATAACACCTCACTGGTCTCTGAAGGATGCCAGTTTCACATGCAAATGATCACACATCAAATGTCACACATACATCTCATTACTTCATAACTGACTATGTTCATTTATTATTTCACACAAAATATAAAGAGGAAGTATACTATAAAATATGATATCATGGTGTCATACATTATATAATATAGTGACAGTAATAGCATGGTCGGACAAAGACAATTATTGTATTACTGTAATAGAGTGTTTATATTAATGTAATTTAATATTAATATATTTTAATTAAATAGGCCTACCACAATTAGTTTGGACACATTCATATTTAACATACATTATATATAAGCTACTTTAAAGATCCAAATATTCATATTGTAACACAAATATTTAATTTTATATATGTAATAATAATAAAAAATAAATAATGCAACAAAGTCTTTTATACGAACCCACACACAGGTTTCATATATATATATATAATATAAATATCACAGAGTATGATGGTAACCCCGCTCAGCAGAGGGCTGAAGTGGGGCACACACGTCAGCGTTCACGGACCGAGCAAACAAGTAAAACCAAAAGATGAAAAGCATGCGGAAAATGGGTGCAGCCTTCAAAAGACAAAAGACCCCTTGCTGATCAACAGCACCCCCATCTTCCTTTAAAAGCCCTCCCTTAGCCAACCCCCCCTTTCTCTGGACGAGGTGCATTGTGGGGAGGAAGTCGTTGCCATTCGACCTCTGCGGGGCCTGCGCGGACGCAGCGAGAACCCTGAAATTCATTATGCGTTTAAAACCTTTATTTATTTCCGCATAACCTACATACTCTCACCGGGAGGGCCAAAGCGGAGGGAAGAAACGACGACGGTCCATCTCTTTCGGACGATACATCCTATACAGACACATTATCCTTTTGGTCGGAGGGGGGGGGATACTGTTGAGAAAGTGAAGATTGTAATATATATTAAGAAAAAAATGTCCGGTGAGAGAAACCGCAGGTCGCTGGCTTTCCGAGGACGTGGATTAGCTGGGTTAACTTCCAGCGGTATCGTTGGGGGGAACTGTAACAGCTGGGAGGCCCCGGCCTGTCAAGACCGACAGTTTAACGGGAACAGGCCGGATCAAGAGGAGGACCGGGATCTGGGGGCAAACGGATCATCGCAGAAGAGAGTGGAGGGCGCTGGGTCTGTCAGCGATAGCACGGAACCCGAGGCGGAGGAAGAAGAGGACCCGGAAGGGGGGAGCTCGGCAGCCGGGGACGGCGACGACCGAGTCGGCTCTGTGGAAGCGGAGGACGGGTCCAGGGAGGGGAGTAGCTTGACAGCGGGGAACGGTCCCAACAACGCCGAGGACCAGGAGTCGGGAAGCGGCGAGACGGGATCCAGGAAATCTGGGGTAGAGATGAGACCGCAGACGTTGCTTCAGAAACACTCACTCTTCCACGCTTCGTGGTTGCAAGAATTTCCATGGCTCAAATTTTGCCAGGAGACGGGACTCATGTCCTGTTCCTGGTGTCACAACATTGCCACTAAAAACAGCGACGAGCTTGTGAAAGGCAGTCGCAACTACAAGCGGGCCTTGCTGCTGAGGCATCACCTGTCTTCTGAGCACGGGAGGAATGACCCCACCAAACAGGTAACGTTAGCTCACCGCGACCGACGCTTTCGCTTCAGCTCGCTGTGAAAGCATTACGTTTAGGTTTTTTTTAAACCTGTCACACATTTAACTCGTAATGTCATTGTGCGTGTTTTTGTCTCTGTCACAAATGGGGACAGTTTCCACAACTTTGAAACTCAACGAAGGCAGAAAATAGGCCATTACTAAGCTTTACAATCCCTCCTCCGGGCTGATTAGCTAGCAGCAGCCTGCTAACAGCTAGCCTAGCCGACTAGCCGCTGGTAGCTTCGCTGTCTATCCGGAGGTAGAAGCCTAGTGGCGGCGTGGAAAGCCCCTAGCGAGGGTAATGACGACCACTGAGTTAACTGAATGGCAAAGCACACTGAATCACTTCTCGGCGTGAGTGAAACGAACCTCTCCTCCTTCAGCCAGTGTGTAAAGTGTGAGTGTGTCTGTCCACTCATCAGTCCAGTCGCAGGCTCAAACCTGCTCCAGTATGACACCTGCTAGCTACTATCACACCGGAGGCTGCTCCTTGTTCAATCAGGGATTAACTGCATGTCACAAATGGCTGTCAATCATTATGAACTGCCTAAAAACTCATTAACAAGTAATGGACAGCGGCTGTGTTGTGGGATACTTCTTGTTTTTAAGATGCACACTGTACAGCAAACCCTTTTTGTTGCATCAGCAGCTGTCCTGATTGCTAGCTTGCTAGAGGTCACACAATGGCAATGGGCTCGACCCTAGTAGCCTTTGGGGAACCGCACCCCTTACCCAACCTCCCCCACCCCCCCACTCTCCTCTCTCGGCCTCTCAAGTAGTTCTGCTGGCTCGCAATCCCGGGTGACCTCTGGCGCATTTCTTCCTCCTCCACCTCCTCCTCCCTTTGGGGGAGCTAAATTAGAGGCATTGTGTTAGAATGACCCCCCAAAATCCATAGATGGTGTCACTTGCAGGGCTGGACAAGAGGAGGGGAGAGTAAATCATGTTGCCTGGAGCCTGGCCCATATGCAACCTTTTGAACAAGGCATGAATGAATGAAATAGATGTCAGTAAATAGAATGACACGGCATCACCTGACCCTGCCGTCCACATATTTCTGGATTAATGGGCTCTAGTGTTGTACCTCTGGGCCATATTTTATGATTAAGCCCCCATCCTGGGTGCACAAGACTGAACTAACTGGAAAATTACCCCTCTTTATTTAATTGGCACGCAAAGATTATGTGGTCAGCCTACGCTTAAGTTAGGTTTTAAAGTTATTGACAGCATCAGTGTGTTGAGCTGCTTTTAATTCAGAACAAAAGTTTTATATTTAGTGAATTATGTCTTTATTGATGTACATGAGGTCTTTTTATTGGTTCATTATTTTTATTGCAGTGTAGGCAGCATTTCTACGGCACTCTTTCAGAGACCTCATAAAAACAGGGAGTGCATATTTCGCTGAACAATCTGGTGTCAAAGGGCATTTCTCCCATCCATGCTATATTTGAAAAAAAAAAAAAAAAAAAAGACGCAACAACCTTACTGACTGTTCCCTGTACATTGGCACACACCGAGCTCATACCCTGACAATGGTCTGAGCTGTCAGGGGAATTAAGAGTGGGGTGCTGTTTGACTCTAATTTGTGAGCGAAGAGGATTGCACTACTACATTTAGTTCCTTCCTTTGCACACGCAATCACTAATCAGAATGACTTAAAGTGATCCACTAACTTGTGCACATCTCTAATTGGCAAGGATAGCAGTAAGAGTGGATTAGGGGCTTGGTGTGGCTTTTCCCTAGCAACAAGGACCCCAGACACTGTTCGCATAGGTTATCCAGGACATTTCCTCATGTAGAATAGAGCTGGGAAGATGGAGTCCCAATGCTGCTCTAATGGAAATGAAAATGTAATTTATTTTTTGCTCACCATTTTGATATCATGTTCTGATGTTCCTCAGATTAACCTTTACTCTAA